TTTGTGTGTGCAAAGATGGTTGGGATTCGGCATTTAACTTGAATGGTTAGAGTCAGGACAGTCCATTGGTCAGAGGGTAGGCCAGATTGGGTTTTAGGCACGGATTGGTCACCAGTAATTCCCAGATTACCCAGACCGTTTGCATTGTTGGGCACATTAGAGCAAATGCACTACAGACTCTAACAAGCTAAGCAGCTAACTTGTGGTTTATTGCTCTGCTAACTTGAATGGAAATAAAATGATTTCATTGTGCAGCTATTGTAGCTCTTCGAAATGTATTGGGACTGAATGGATCAAATTTTGATGCTAAAACAAGTCATTTCACGAGGGTTGTGGTGCTAAAAAAAAAAATTCGCTGTGCATTTTCCTCTGCCCCATGGCATCACATAATGGAGCTGGAAGTTGTAATCCCACTGTTTGGCCAACACAAAAAATTAGCTTCAAAGCCCAGCGCACTTCCTGGGGTCCCTGTGTTACTACATAACATACTAACATACTATTGACGCCAACGCCATTACCACAGCAACCCATGCAGATAGGTTGAGGATGTCCGGACACACAATTTCAATCTGGTCACTTGCAAATAACAGTGCAGTCTGTTTGAGAGAGAAACTGCCTTGGTGTCTTTAAACTCACTGTTTTCCACCCACAACTTTAATTTTTTGCCTTACTCTCACAGCACTGAGTTGCTTTGTTTGCTGCAGCAGTAGGCAGCTGTTTTGGATGGAAAAAAAACCTCAGTGTACTAGTGATCAAGCAAAATGAACTAATTAATCTTTTTAAAAAACTCTTTTTAGTGTCGTACTAGCTCAGCCTTTCAAACTTCCTACTCGCCGCTTGTTGTTATCATAGAGAATAGCTCATGTTGTGTGCTACAGTGAGTGAATGAGGACCGAATAAATCTGGCTTGAGTCAAGACCTTTGCCAGCCAAGGCCAGTGGCTCATTCACTTGCTCCTCAGATAGTCGTCCTCTGTCTTTTGCGTGTCCATGAGCTTTAAGTTTCAACGTGGGAACAACATAAACACTACAAAGAAGATGAGCTGTATTTTACTGCTCCCAGTTTAAATAACAGGCTGATTATAAAGAGCAAAGGAAACAGATCAGGTGAGCCATGAAATATGGCAACACCAGCAGAATGCATCACAAGGCTGTGGAGGTAACTGCTACTTGACCCTAGAAGAACTATAGATTGTTGGTCAGTGACATTTCTGTAACATCGAATTGAGTTTACAAAGCCTAACTAATGTTAAATACAAGTGGGATGCTGAACCAATGCATTGAAATTAATATTCTAACTTTATAGAGTGCCCCAGGAATGACTCAAACCCAGAAATGAGTTAGCATTTTTCCACTCCTGGTTTCCTTGCATCAAAGTCATCAGGTTTTTTGAATGGGTTTTTAGTTAGACACCTGAAATAAGGTCTGTGGTTAACATAAGCTTAAGAGACTGTCACGTTTTGTTCTACAATGTAAAATACATCAGTAAATACCCCACTCGTGAATTTTGAAGCTTTTAGGTGTCTTAAAAAGGCTGGTTGCTCACAAGTGGCTAAATGAGACTAGAGAACGTCATCATGACAAACACGGCTTTACAGCCTCACTGTGTGGGCAACATTAAGTCACGTGACCATAGTGTAGTTCATTGATAGCCTTATGTTAGCTTTTTACTTCCAACTATTTCATTCAAATCCCACAGGCTTTCTGATGAGGGAAACAGAGCGATGCTAACTTCCATGTCGTCCTACAGAAAACTGTCATCCCTGGAGGACTCTATTAATGTAAACCTATACAAAGTGACTGGTAATTTGTTTAAGTTTAGTGGGGGAGTGGCACTAGCAGTCTAGCCAAACATTCATGTACAAAAACAGAGCGTTGTGGGGAAACTGACACCATATTTTACAAAAAGTATCAAAACTCAAAAGGTTTGGATCTATCAACTTGAAGGAACCTATTCTGTAAAAACAATCAGTCCGCCCATACTGTACACAACCTGTCCACCACCAAACAGTGGACAAAGTAAGCAGCTAGCTAGTGAACATGGTGGAGCACAGCAGCTACAAAAACATTTCCTCCGAGGGTTAGTAGAGGAAGACAATGGTTAGGGTTAATAAAAATCTCAAGCTTTTTTTGGTCCCTATGAAACTAGCGGACACAACCTGTCCAGCTCCAAACAGCTAATGTTAGTTAGCGGTTAGCTTCAGTTAGTTAGCGGCTAGCTAGTGAACATAGTGGAGCACAGCAGTTATAAAAAGAGATATTTACTTAAAGGGTTATTAGAGGAAAAACAGGAGTTACGGTTAGCATAAATTTCAGGCAACTTATTTTGTCCTAAAAAGCTCCAATAAAATCAGGGTACACGAACTGCCCAGCACCAAACAGCTAATGTTGATTAGCAGCTAGCTTATGTTAGTTAGCAGCTAGCTAGTGAACATAGTGGAGCACAGAAGCTATAAAAACAAATATTTACTTCAAGGGTTATTAGATAAAACACGTGTTAGGGTTAACAGAAATCTCAGGCAGCTTTTTTGTCCTAAAAAGTTCTAATAAAACCTGGGTACACTACCTGCCCAGCACCAAACAGCTAATGTCAGTTAGCGGCTAGCTAAAGTTAGTTAGCGGATAGCTTGTGAACGTGGTGGAGCACAGAAACTATAAAAACAGATATTTACTTCAAGGGTTATTAGATAGAAACAGGTGTTAGGGTTAACAGAAATCCTAGGCAGGTTTTTGTCCTAAAAAGATCTAATAAAACCAGGGTACACTACCTGACCAGCACCAAAAAACTAGCAGCTAGCTTACATTAGTTAGCCGCTGGCTGGTGAACATGGTGGAGCACAGCAGCTACAAAAACAGATATTTACTTCAAGGGTTATTAGAGGAAAAACAGGTGTTAGGGTTAGCAAAAATCTCAGGCAGCTTTTTTGTCAAAAGATTTCTCGTAAAACCAGGGGACACTACCTGCCCAGCACCAAACAGCTGATGTTAGTTGGCAGCTAGCTTACTTGAGTTAGCGGCTAGCTAGTGAACATAGTGGAGCAGAGAAGCTAAAAAGAACAACATTACCTTTGAGGGTTATTAGAGAAAGACAATGGTTAGGGTAAAAAAATATCTCAGGCAGCTTTTTTGCCCTAAAAATTTCAAATAAAACCAGGGTACACTACCTGCCCAGAACCAAACAGCTAATGTAAGTTAGCAGCTAGCTAAAGTTAGTTAGCGGCTAGCCAGTGAACACATTGGAGCACAGCAGCTATAAAAGCAGATATTTACTTAAAGGGTTTTTAGAGAAAAATAGGAGTTAGGGTTAGCATAAATTTCAGGCAACTATTTTGTTCTAAAAAGCTCCAATAAAACCAGGGTACACTACCTGCCCAGCACCAAACAGCTACTGTTAGTTAGCGGCTAGCTTGTGAACATAGTGGAGCCTTTAACCGCTTTAGACAGCTGGCTGCCGTTTGTGTCATTAGAGTTGGTGAAGACCAAAACAAGAGCTAAAAGGAGAGTGAATATTGGACTTATATTCAGAAGGTGGCCAGAAATACAACAAAAATATGCTAATATCTCTCCGTATCCACTGATGCTAACTGTTTGCCAACAAGTTCGACATTTCTACTTTAAGGGGGGACGATATGTCACTTGTGTTCTGGAATACCGTTGGTAAAAGTGGGCATTTCATTTTTAATTAAGCAATATCACAAGAGAGGGAGTGATGTTGTACTGCATATCGTCTTCAGCACTCGACATGCGGCCTCGGGCCTATGACCGAATCACAGCCGTGACGATATGCAGTACGTCACGACCTCCAGAGTGTGATATTGCTTTTATACAACAGTTCAACAACAGCTTAAACAGCAATGCTGAGTAAGGAAATGTTAACAAAAGGTGATGAAATAAATTATTTAAGTATGTTATGTAGCTCCGTGATAAAAAACAGTTCGCCAGTCTGCTGCCAGGCAACGCAGCACACACGCCAGGAACTCACAAGCTACTTTGTATTTACATTGATCTGCAGCTGTGTAACTTCGTCCAGTTCGGCTGATCAAACGTTGGCAAACCTGGATGTTGGCACGGCCGGATTCAAACATACCTGGAGGTCTGCACAGAAGAGTCCTGGCTGTCCTTTTCCTCGTCCTCTCCTGACGAACACTCATAATTTAATTCAAATGTGATTTGGGGGAAAATATCCATCTTCTTGGTGTAATGCTATAGGGTAGTGTCAGTTTGCGTCAATGTAGCAAGTGTGACAGCTTGTTAATTAGCGGTTGTATTTATATTTATAACACCTGTGAGCGGAGTGATTTTACTGTAACATGTCCCACTCACGGAATGCCTCTCGTCCAATCAAATTACTCGGTCGGAACTAACTGTTGTAAAATAATAAATATGGGTAGTTTTGTTTTGGCACAGTTTGTAAAATATGGGTAAAAGCTGGCCATTATCGTGAGGCAGTGCAGTCAGAGTTTAGAGATAAATATTGCTTAACAAGTGCTGATTAACTGCATCACTTTATAATCTCTAAATAAGATGCGCAGTGTCTTTCGTTAGGGTAGAGATTAACCTCTGCCTTGAAATGTGAGTAAACTGACTTTCTAATCCACCCTCCCTCCTTTGAAATCACAATCATGAAATGGATACCCCCCACCTTTCCCACCTCCCTCCCCTAATGAAACGCTCAGCGGAGGAGTGACTGGACTGGAGGCTGCAGAGACATGGCTGAGGGAATCCCTGCACAAACCCACTGTAGTACATCACCAAGCTGTCAAACCATTCACACCAGCCTGACACAGCAAAACACTGCGCTCACAGGTCAAACCCCATCTTATCCGAGGGATGATAATAACAACAACAACAAAAAAACCCGGAAAAGATGAGCTTCATTGTGTGAAACAGCTAATTTCTCCTAAAAGCACAGCCCGCAGCGAGAAACACACACACCGATAAATGTTAGGAGCAAAACGCAGGAAGGATGGCGGGGATAAATGCGCAAATGATTTAGCCTACCTGAGCAGCTGTCACTGATGAGTGTCGGATGATGACCCTTCTTCTTCTTCTTCTTCTTCCTCTAATGCCGCTGCTGCTTCTTCTTCTTCCTCTGCGCTCAGGTCCTCCTCAGCCTCCCAGCCAAGCCCCCCCACCCTCTCTATCTCTCCTCCTCTCTCTCGCTCTCTCCACAATGCATGCCGGGAACGTGAGGGGTGTAGTGAATTCATTACTGCAGTCGGTCCATGAAGCTCATTGGCCGACAGGGAAATTGTGGGAGCATCCCTCAGTACAGGGGAGTCAGCTGTAAAGCAGGGGTTAAAGAAATCAATGATAAGAAAAATATAGAAGATAAATATATTACTGGGATTTATTTGAACACTTACATTTTTTATTTGCTGTATCCCTCTAAAATCTATCTAAAATTATTTCATATATGCACACACTCACCAGCCACTTTATTAGGTACACCTGTGCAACAGCTCATTAACACAAATAGCTATTCAGTCAATCACGTGGCAGCATTTCAATGCATTTAGGCATGTCGACATGTTTGAGACGACCTGCTGAAGTTTAGTCTCGCCACCAGACAATCAGAGATCTCCACCTTCTGATAGTCTGGGGACACTCCTTTCTAAAGTGTGTTTAACACACCGGCGAAAACGGCCGGCAACAAAGCAACGCCTCTTGCATTTTTGAAAAGGACACGCCTTCTCGGAAACGTGCACTCCCCCTTTTCTCATCCGCAAGGAAACAAACACACGGAGAGCTTGAAAATGGATGCCGAGAGATTTAACTAAACGTGTGCTCATCCGTGAAGAAAATATTTTTTCCAGCGGATGTCTTAGTTACAACATGACTGAGCTAACTGGAGTAGTTTCATGTTGTATCCGACAATGGGAGGCTTTTAACAGATGACGTCCTGATGTTAGCTTTGCTGCTGCTGTTAGCTGTCCCTGTCAGCTGCAGCTTTCTAGACATTGTGATTTCCTAAAACTGAATAAATACCACACATAGCAACACAAAACTGCTTTGCTAGCTCAATCATGTTGTAACTAAGATACCCGCTGGCAAAGATATTTTTTTCACGGACCGTTTAATGAGTTATTACCTATTACAGACACCGCTAACGGCTAACAGGGCAAACGGTTAGCCCAGCTAAACGTGCACACAGAAATAGTAATGTTTGTTCAATCATTGTGTTTATAGACTTTACAAACAAGCTCAGCTGGTTTTCTACCCGGAGGTATTTGTAAACAACAAGGCGATTCCCTCTATAGTCTATAGTCTGGCCGGACGGATGAGTCATGGCCTTGTAAAAGATTATGTTTGTTTCTTTTAGTTGGCGAGAATGTGTCGCCGCAAACGCGGCAAACATCCACTAACTTTGATGGCGTTCTCTGCGAGCGCGGCTGAGCCATTTTGTACTGCTACACGTGTTTCTAGTGGGACCATGTTTACAAGCACAAGAGTTCAGCGAGCCACCGAAGGACCGCCCTGCAGATTTACTATTGGTTCTGCAACGTAGGGATTTTTTTTAAACTCTGAAATTGTATCCGCCCATCTAAACACAAAATCAGGGAGAAAGACATCAGTCTTTAGTTAAGCAAAGCGTCTAAAGACTGACTTGTGAGTCTAGCTGAAGTTCAAACCGAGCATCAGAATGGGGAAGAAAGGTGATTTAAGTGACTTTGAACGTGGCATGGTTGTTGGTGCCAGAAACTGCTGATCTACTGGGACTTTCACACACAACCATCTCTAGGGTTTACAGAGGATGGTACCAGAAGAGGAAAAACCCAGTGAGCAGCAGTTCTCTGGTTGAATAGACCTTGTTGATGCCAGAGGTCAGAGGAGAATGGCCAGACTGGTTCAAGATGATAGAAAGGCAACAGTAACTCAAATAACCACTGGTTACAACCAAGGTCTGCAGAAGACCATCTCTGAACCAACAACATGTCCAACCTTGAAGCAGATGGGCTACAGCAGCAGAAGACCACACCAGGTGCCACTCCTGTCAGCTAACAACAGGAAACTGAGGCTACAGTTCACACAGGCTCACCAAAACTGGACAATAGAAGATTGGAAAAACGTTGCCTGGTCTGATGAGTCTGGATTTCTGCTGCCACATTCAGATGGTAGGGTCAGAATTTGGTGTAAACAACATGAAAGCATGGATCCATCCTGCCTTGTATCAACGGTTCAGGCTGCTGGTGGTGGTGTAATGGTGTGGGGGATATTTTCTTGGCACACTTTGGGCCCCTTAGTACCAACTGAGCATGGTTTAAACACCACAGCCTACCGGAGTATTGTTGCTGACCGTGTCCATCCCTTTATGACCACAGTGTACCCATCTTCTGATGGCTACTTCCAGCAGGATAACGCACCATGTCACAAAGCTCAAATCATCTCAAACTGGTTTCTTGAATATGACAATGAGTTCACTGTACTCCAATGGCCTCCACAGTCACCAGATCTCAGTCCAATAGAGCACACTTGGGATGTGGTGGAACGGGAGATTCACATCATGGATGTGCAGCTGACAAATCTGCAGCAACTGTGTGATGCTATCATGTCAATATGGACCAAAATCTGTGAGGAATGTTTCCAGCACCTTGTTAAATCTATGCCACCAAGAATTAAGGCAGTTCTGAAGGCAAAAGGGGGTCCAACCTGGTACTAGCAAGGTTTACCTAATAAAGTGACCAGTGAGTGTTTATATTTAGCCTGGTGCAAAAAGGAGAAGGGATGTCAAATAATTTTTATGCACTAATTATAGACTAATGTTTTTTTATTTTGACTTAGGGGAGGGGCATACAACTTTTAATGATTGTATTTTGTATTTATTTTTCTGCTGATTTTTTTAAAGAAAACAGGCAGGTTTGGAAGACAGGTTTTCTCTCTTTCTAAAAAAAAGACACCATTTATCATAGCCACAAAATGTAAAAAAACAAAAAACAAACAGAAATTTCCAACAGACATTGGACACATCACTTGTGACAAACACTCCCATCATAAAATATATATATCACCAAATTTGAGCTTAAAATAGTTGTACTTTGCACTAGCTTTGGGGAGGGTCAAAAAAAAGAATTCACACCAGGACTTGTAATATATATCTTCTACAGTGTGCAAATAATAATCTATCATTATTTTTGGAGCCTTGCTAAGAAATCACATTCACATTTCTTCACTGAAAGTCAATATTCCAAATCCCGGTGAAATATGGTTTAAATGTAACCGTTCAATCAGTGTCTTCAAATAGTTAAAAAGTTACATTTTTGAACCAATTCTGAGTGTGTTTTCACCATCACTGTTTTAAATGCCGTTTAAACCTCAAAATGCTCACTGTAATATCAAACTGTAAAAGCGGTTCTGACTTGAGAATGTCAACCACAGCAGTATGCAAGTTACATACTTAGTCATACCAACACATTTACAGCTTCCACTTAAAAGGATAAAGACGACCATGTGACACGTTACAATACATTTGTATTTATTAAGCAACAATTCAAATATAACATGAAAAATAATCTTTAAACACAATTACAGTGAAATAGAAAAATACATAATTGATGCAGGGTCCCTCTGGTTTGTCCTTCTGGTCACTGAAGTGATCGGGTCACAATGCATCTTGGAGCTCGTTTGCACTTGTATTTAGCACTGTCTACTTGTGATCTAATCACCCAAGACGTATGTTAATTATTATGGTCAAACTTGGTGCAGGCGGACACTTTAAAACATACAAACAATCCCTACGCACGTCGCCTACACCATTATGAGCATTTATACTTGTGCAGTGGTGTCTGTGTCACTCTGCAGTTACACCTCCAAAACACTAGTAGGCAGCTGGGTTTCTGTGAAGTTTAGTTGATTTAAAACACACATTAAACACACATTAAACATGGTTTAATAATGACAAATTCAAACACAAGTACACATTTTCCCCACAAATACAACATGCTAATGTTTTTAGCACAAGCCAATGGCATTTTACATTGTATAAATTAGCCTAGCAGCTAGCAATCTTTTCCTCTTCTCATATAAAACCAGGGACAACAGCAACATGTAACAAAGGTAATGGTCCAAAATTTTGCGCCATGACAACACACAAGGTTCACTGACAAAACAACTGTCTTATACTAAACATGTTTTCAAAACATATACAACATGCTAACGTTATTAGCACAAACGTATGGCATTTTACATTGTATAAATTAGCCTAGCAGCTGGCGATCTTTTCCTCTTCTCATATGAAGTCAGGGATAACAGCAGCATTTAACAAAGGTAACGTTACAAAATTTGTCACTCACAAGGTTCACCAACAAATCAACACGTTTTCCAAACAAATAACATGCTAACATTATTAGCACAAGCCTATGGCATTTTACATTTTATAAAATTAGCCTAGCAACGAGTGGAGATTTCCTCTGCTCATACAAAGCAAGGATAAATCACACACAAGACTTATAATGCTATTGTAGTGGAGACTTTAGTGTCTTCACAATTTATTGTGTCTTATCTGTGAAATTAAAGTTAATAAAAGTTTTGTGTCCACTGGTTTCAGCTTTCAAAAATAGACAGGAGGTCTGTGTCACCGCAATGTGTAGTGACATTTCTGGGGAGGTGCACGTCAGGCTACAGCGTAGGCTATGGCGTCGATTTAACACGGAAATATCAATTCCACATAAAGGTCAATATATTTTCCTCAGTAGCTGGTGGAGACCAAAACAGGAGAGTGAATATTGGCTTACATGCATTAGGTGGCCTGAAATACAATGTCAAATAAGTGCTAATGTTGCTCAGTGTCCGCTGGAAACAGTTAACGAACATCAACATTGAACATTGATCCCCCTCCCCCACATGTTGGCCAATAAATCAATTCATATTGCTCTAAAGGGGCCTTGAAGGTACCATCTCCATCCAGCCCTACAACACGACCAATTACGCTGCTACAAAATAGTTAATGTACAAAACATTACTGGAAAGTTAAATGATGGAGATATCTGTCAGACTGATATCAGCAGAGGTAAATATTTCATGATGGCACTCAGGCACAGAAGAACATGTCGACCCACAGCTGTCACTGATGTAACAGAGTGTAATAACAACATCATTAATCTCTTTTAGCCCACACTCTGCAGCCACGATGCCACTCAGTAGCTCCTGTCTGTTTGTTG